AAAGAACTTCCATTTCACGAATAAATGTTTTTTTTTTTTGTTTTTTTTTTTTTTTTTTATATATTTAGATTAAAAATTTCTCTTAAAGGGCGCCAGGACACCAGTAACCTGGGCTGGATTTTTCTCAAACCGGATTTTTAAGGCAAGTATATCTCAAAGTTTTTTTTTTTTTTTTTTTTTTTTTTTTTTATTTTTATTTTTTTATTTATTGTTTATTAATTAACTCTTTGTTTTGAGAGGTTCGAGCTCTCGACAATGCATCGGCATTGTTATGTTTTCGTCTACGGAGGTGTATGATTTTAAAATTGTAGGGTTGCATCCGCAGCACCCATCGGGCTCTTTATCCAGATAATTCGGTAGTTTGGAGCCACTTCAACGCAGAGTGATCGGTTACCACAATGAAGGGGTCCAAGCCAACATAATGCTGAAAGTACTTAATCGACCAAAGAACAGCGAGGCACTCCAACTCTGTGGTAGTGTAATTTCGTTTGGGTTTCGTTAATTCACGGCTTGCGTATGCAATGACGTACTCTTTTCCTAGATCATCCTTTTGAGCAAGCACGGCGCTAAAACCAAAACCGGATGCATCGGCATGTATAATGAAAGTTTTGCCAAAATCGGAGTAACGCAAAACAGGCGTATTTATAAGGTACTGTTTTAATTTATTGAATGCATCTTCCTGTTCTTTCTTCCATTCATATTTAACATCTTTTCTCAATAATTTGTGCAAAGGACGGGCGATAACGGCGAACTCTGGTATAAATTTTCAATAATATGAAGCTAAACCGATAAAGCCTCGTAACTGACGTAGGGTCTGGGGTACGGGGAAGTCCTTGACCTTTTTTACTTTGTCTTCATCGGAGCGGACTCTGTTTCTTCTGACTACGTGACCCAGAAAATGTAGGTAGGGCTTAAAGAAGAAACATTTATCCGGATTTAATTTCAAACCAACACTCCTAAGTTTATTAAAAACAGCGGTGATGTGGTTGACATATTCTTCGAATGTGCAGGAAAATATTATTATATCGTCCAAATACACGACAATAAATTTGTCTAAAAACTCAGCTAAGACCTTATTCATCAGCTTTTGAAACGTCGCGGGCGCATTATACAAGCCAAATGGCATCACTAAAACTTGTACGACCCGGAACTCGTCACAAAGGCGGTCTTTTCTTGATCCTATTCATCCATACGCACTTGCCAATAACCAGACATCATATCCAACGTAGAGAACCACAAAGCAGAACTGAAGACTTCAAGCAGATCGTCTATATGGGGCAAGGGAAAGGCATCCTTTTTTGTAACGGAATTTAATTTCCAATAGTCCATGCACATCCGTAATTTTCCACCTTTCTTCGGCACTATGACTATCGGAGAGGCCCAAGGACTCTTGCTTTCTTTGATCAGACCTTTTTCTTCCAATTTTCCAATTTCTTGTTTTATAAAATCGCGGATACTGGGAGCAGCATGATAAGAAGCTTGTTTTATAGGGGCAGCGTCACCAGTCTCTATTATATTGGTTAGCACCATCGTTTGTCCAAGATCAGCCACATTCATCGCAAAAATGTCTTTTTCCGTTTTTAGTAAATTCTTAGCTTCGTCCTTCTGATCTGGAGTGAGTTCATTGGGTTCTAAGTTTCTTTCCAGCCTTTTCTCCAAATCTTCTTCGAGATCATAATTCTTCAGGGGTAATTCTTCAATATCGGACAAGTACACAGCTGGGCTTCTATAGTTTTTCCATGGGTTTTCAAACATCTCCAATTCGTCAGCACTTTCAGTGAAGAACCCTTCAGCTTCTTCTAATTCTTCTTCTTCATACTCCAGGTTGTCAAAGAGATCCGGTTCAAATTCTTCAATTTCTTCTGTTTTTTGGTTTCAAGGAGTGGGTTTTCTCCATAATACGATATTGGGACGTCAGCAGCACAACCTCCATACTGGACGTACAGCTTTCTTTCGTCCACGTGCAGGCAGGTACAAGCTAAACGGAATCATTCCATTCCCAACAAGAGGGTAGCTTCAGTAGATTCAATGATTTAGAAGATTGTTGGGACCACAATTCCTCCCAAGACCAACTTGAGGTCCACAATTTTTCCTAGGGCCCTCTGCTTCGACCCGTTTGCAATTATAACAGTTGTGGTGGAGGGTTCATTTATTTTTAAATCCAGTTTCTGCAACATCTTCATCGTCATGATGTTTACAGCAGCTCCAGAGTCAAGCACGGCAATTATCGGGTTATTCTTCACCTTCACATAGCATCGGGCAACGGTAGTTCTTCCATGGGACTGCTGGGCTACATTGGTTTCCATCTCTTCAGGAACCTGTACTATCATAGGAATGGATGGTGTTGGCGGGAATAGTCGTTTCAGGGCATTCACTAGCTTTTTTCTTTGATCAGGATATTGCAACATTTGTCCAAGGGTTACATTCGCCCTTTGGTTCATAATGTTCACGGCCACATTGTACGGGTCCAATTTGTCAATCATGAAGAGACCTCACTTTCGGCGAGGTTTTGGAGGCGAAACCACCAGGTCTATTTCGATAAGTAGTGGATTTCCATTCTCCAAGGTTGGTGTGGGAGCAACTACTGGTTGAGTGGGCTTCGGCCTTTCTTCGGCTTAGGTTTCTGCTTCCTTAAGGCAGCTTCTTGTTCTTTGCGAAGGATAGAGTTGAGATGGTCTGCAGGCATTACTACTGCTTCATCGCTTCGGATGGGTCTTTCTTCTTCTTCCAAGATGCTGATATAGTTCACGTCCCTTGGCCTTTGCAAAATTCGGGTGGCCGGGTTGTCTTGGTCTTGAATTTGGTCCTGGGGGTGACTCCAGGTTTGGTTCAGGTTAGGGTTTCTTTCCAACACCCTTTCAGACATACAGTTGCACGAGATATGTCCAAGTTCCCCATATCTATGGCAGTGATATAGTGTACCATTATTATTATTTCTGCTTCTTCCTCCATTATTATCAACGTTATTATTTCGATAATTTGTCCGGGGTCTTGTCGTGGACTCTACATGGGCGGCAAGGGTAGAAGTTAATTTCTCGAAACTAGCATACAGTACTTGCATTTGCTGGTTCAATTGTTCGACATTATTGGAGGTTCTATTTCTTTGCCATTTCTTTCATCATAGTACTCTCCAGCTTCGATTTTTCGAGCGACAGCGATCGCATCCTCAAGGTTGGCGAGTTCACCAATACTCAGCCAAGAGGCTGTCCTTGGTTTTAGTCCTCCTAAAAACATTCGTACAATGTACGATTGGGGCAGCTCATAGCGGGGATCTACACGGCGCAAAAGTTTCCTAAACTTATATGCGTACGACTCCACTCTTTCATTTGGTTGTTGGGCTAGGGCATTCAAGTCGACCTGCCATTTATATCATTTCTCCAGGGTCGCAAAGTAATGACTAAACTGGAGGACGAAGCTATCGTCTGGGGCATGAATGTTATCCTAGTAGTCCAGGTGGTTCTTTACACCATCATACCAATCAGCAGCTACACCTCGCAAGTACCCGGATGCGATTTTTACCTTCCTTTCAGCTGTCCAATTATTCGATTAGTGGCCCTATTGAATGCTTCTATCCATTCCAAGGGGTCTTCGTCTTCTTCTCCTCGAAATACTTCAACCCAGACCAAGTTGGTCTCTCTATTCGGTGGTCGGGTAGCGGCGGCAGCTCCAGCAGTGGTGTCTCTGAACGCAGTGGCAATCTCTCTCAAGATCGTTTGGACCAGGTCTTGAGCCTGGAGTTGATTCTGATTTCTTTCGTCTCTGACGAAAATTCTTTCCGGCATTGGTTGGTAATGGTCCACAGGGGTACGGCTTCCATCGGTTCGTTGGTCTTGGTCCATCTCTTCATGGTTGTCATTGGGTCATCCAAATATCAGCAAGTCGTTGTTTTGTCTTTGGTTCATCCTAGAATTAAATAATAGAGCTTTCTTATAGATTAGTAAAAAAAAATTTAAACCGAAAAAAAAATTTAAAACGAAAAAATTTTTAAACTGAAAAAAAAAATTTTAAAACAAAAAAAAATTTTAAAACACAACAAAAATAAAAAAAAAACTTTTGAACACAAAATTATTGTTAATCAAATGGTTTTCCCTTCGTTATAAAATTTTCATTTTTTTTTTTTTTTTTTTTTTTTTTTTTTTTTTTTTGAACTTGCGTTCTATCTCACAGTCACCACCACAAATTGTCGGAGGCTATCAACTCTACCTCCAACTAAAAGAAATAGCGCGACAGCGTCGCTGAGACGAAGACCCCTTGGAATGGATAGAAGCATTCGATAGGGCCGCCGATGCGAATAATTGGACAGCCGAAAGGAAGGTAAAAATCGCATCCGGGTACTTGCGAGGTGTGGCTGCCGATTGGTATGATGGTGTAAAAAACTACCTGGACTACTGGGATAACATTCATGCCGCAGACGATAGCTTCGTCCCCCAGTTTAGTCGTTACTTTGCGACCCCGGAGAAACGATATAAATGGCAAGTCGACTTGAATGCCCTGGCCCAACAACCAAACGAAAGAGTGGAGTCGTACGCATATAAGTTTAGGAAACTTTTGCGCCGTGTGGACCCCCGCTGTGAGCTGCCCCAATCGTACGTTGTACAAATGTTTTTAGGAGGACTAAAACCAAGGACAGCCTCTTGGCTGAGTATTGGTAAACCCGCCAATCTCGAGGATGCGATCGCTGTCGCTTGAAAAATCGAAGCCGGAGAGTACTATGACGAAAAATACAGAAGAAGAAATGGAACCCCCAATGATAACGTCGAACAATTAAACCAGCAAATGCAGGTACTGTATGCTGGTTTCGAAAAATTGACCACCACCTTGGCTGCCCATATAGAATCCACAAGACCTCGGACCACATATAGGAACAATAACGGCAATTACAATGGAGATAGAAATGGAAATAATAATAATGGTGCACCATATCGCTGCCATAGATGTGGGGAGCTTAGACATATTTCGCGCAACTGTATGTCCGAAAGGGTGTTGGAAAGAAACCCGAACCCGAACCAAACCCGGAATCAACCCCAGGACCAAACTCGAGACCAAGACAACCCGGCAGCCCGAATTTTGCAAAGGCCAAGAGACGTGAATTACTTCAGCGTCTTGGAGGAAGAAGAAAGACCTACTAGAAGCGATGAAGCAGTGTTAATGCCTGCAGACCGCCCCCAACCCTATCCTTCGCAAAGAACAAGAAGCCGCCTTAAAGAAGCAGAAGCCCAAGCCGAAGAAAGGCCAAAGCCCACCCAACTAATAGTTGCCCCCACACTAGTCCTGGAAGATGGAAACCCACTACTTATCGAAGTAGACCCAGTGGTTTCGCCCCCAAAACCTCGCCGAAAGAGAGGTCCATCCGTGATTGACAAATTGGACTCGTACGACATGGCCGTGGACATTATGAACCAAAGAGCAAATGTGACTCTTGGACAAATTTTGCGATATCCCGACCAAAGAAAGAAGCTTGTGAATGCCCTGAAGCGACCATTTCCACCAACACCACCCATACCTACGATAGTACAAGTTCCGGAAGAAATGGAAACAAATGCCGCCCAACAGTCCCATGGAAGAACCACCGCCGCCTGATGTTATGTGAAAGTAAAGAATAACCCGATAGTCGCCGTGCTTGACTCCGGAGCTGCCGTGAATATTATGACAATGAAAATGCTCCAGAAGTTGGACTTGAAAATAAATGAACTCTCCACCACCATTGTTGTAATAGCAAATGGATCGAAACAAAGGGCCTTGGGGAAAATTGTGGACCTCAAGTTGATCTTGGGAGGAATCGTGGTCACTACGACGTTCCAAATCATTGAATCCACCGAAGCAACCCTCTTGTTGGGGATGGAATGGTTCCGATTGGCTCGCGCCCGCTTGCACGTGGATGAAAGAAAGCTGTACGTCCAGTATGGAGGTTGTGCTGCCGAAGTCTCGATATCGTATGATGGGGAAAACCCACTCCTTGAAACCAAAAAAACGGAAGAGATTGAAGAATTTGAACTGGATCCCTTTGACGACCTGGAATATGAAGAAGAAGAATTGGAGGAAGCCGAAGGATTCTTTACCGAAAGCGCTGACGAATTGGAGATGTTCGAAAATCCTTGGAGAAACCATAGAAGCCCAGCCGTATACTTATCCAATATTGAGGAGTTGCCCATAAAAAACGATGACCCTGAGGAAAACGTTGAGAAAAAATTAGAAAAAAATTTAGAAACTGAAGAACTTACCTTAGAACAGAAGGACGAAGTTAGAAGATTACTAAAGACGGAAAAAGACATTTTCGCGATGAATGTGGCTGACCTTGGACAAACGATGGTGCTAACCCACACAATAGAAACTGGTGATGCCGCCCTCATAAAACAGGCCCCGTATCGTGCTGCCCCCAGTGTCCGGAATTTCATAAAACAAGAAATTGGAAAACTGGAAGAGAAAGGTCTGATCAAAGAAAGCAAGAGCCCTTGGGCCTCCCCGATTGTCGTAGTACCGAAGAAAGGTGGAAAACTAAGAATGTGCGTGGACTATCAGAAATTAAATTCTGTTACCAAGAAGGATGCTTTTCCCTTGCCCCGTATAGATGATCTGCTTGAAGTCTTAGGTTCCGCTTTGTGGTTTTCTACATTAGATATGATGTCGGGTTACTGGCAGGTGCGTGTTGATAAAAAGGACCAGGAAAAGACCGCCTTTGTGACAAGTTCTGGGTCGTACGAGTTTTTGGTAATGCCATTCGGCCTGTGTAATGCGCCCGCGACATTCCAAAGGTTGATGAATAAGGTCTTGGCCGAATTTTTGGACAAATTTATAGTCATGTACCTAGATGATGTAATCATATATTCCCGCACCTTTGAGGACCATATCAAGCACATCGCTGCCGTTTTTAATAAGTTTTGAAATGTGGGTTTGAAGTTGAATCCGGATAAATGCTTTTTCTTCAAACACCATCTACATTTCCTGGGACACATAGTCGGTAGAGACGGAGTTCGCCCCGATGAAAACAAAGTAAAGAAAGTCAAGGACTTCCCCGTTCCCCAGACCCTACGTCAATTACGAGGCTTTATCGGTTTAGCTTCGTATTATCGAAAATTTATACCAGAATTCGCCGTTGTCGCCCGCCTCTTGCACAAATTATTGAGAAAAGATGTTAAATATGAATGGGAGAAAGAACAGGAAGATGCATTCAATAAACTGAAACAGTACCTCATAAATGCCCCTGTTCTGCATTACCCAGATTTCGGTAAAACTTTTATTATACATGCCGATGCATCCGGTTTTGGTCTTGGCGCCGTGCTTGCCCAAAAGGATAATCTTGGAAAAGAGTACGTCGTTGCGTACGCAAGCCGTGGACTAACGAAACCCGAAAGAAATTACACTACCACCGAGTTGGAGTGTCTCGCCGTCCTTTGGTTGATTGAGTATTTCCGGTATTATGTTGGCCTGGATCCCTTTATAGTGGTAACCGACCACTCAGCGTTAAAATGGCTCCAAACTGCCGAATTATCTGGTCGTAGAGCCCGATGGGTACTGCGGATGCAACCTTACAATTTTAAAATCGTACACCGCCGTGGACGAAAACATAACAATACCGATGCATTGTCGAGAGCTCGAATCCCTCAAAATGAAAAGTTAGTTAATAAACAATAAAATAAAAAAAAAAAAAAAAAAAAAAAAAAGTATAATAATAATAATAGACTTGCCTTAAAAATCCGGTTCGAGAGAAATCCAGCCTAGGTTACCAGTGTCCTGGCGCCCATAAGAGTTTTTTTTTTACCTAAGTAAAGGAAAAGAAGAAGAAAAAAATATATATATATATTTATAAAAAAAAAAAAAAAAAAAAATGGACCCTGATCAATATAAAAGATTAACAAAGTACCTTGAGAATGGATACCTGTCTCCCGCCTTAAATGAAGCCCAACGACGCCACATAAGGAATAAAAGCCGATTCTTCAAATTTAAAGAAGGCCTGTTGTATAAAAAAGACTGAAGGACCAAAGGAAGGTTATTACGAGTAATACAAAGATCCGAAGTCGACCCTATCTTATTTATGGTTCACACCAATCTATTGGGGGGTCACTTCAATAAAGACATTATGTTTGAAAAAGTCCGAAATACGTACTTTTGGCCCCAGATGTACGTTGACATAAGGAAATACATAAGAACCTGCGACCCATGTCAGCGAAGAACAAAACCAAGGGAACGAGGCCTTCTATATCCCATTCCTGTCTCCGCACCGTTCTACAAAATTGGAGTGGATTTCGTTGGACCTCTACCTCAAACTCCCGATTAAACCGTTACATCATTGTCGCCACCGATTTTATGACACGTTAGCCAGAAGCCTGTGCCGTCCAGAAAGCTGATGCCCAAACGGTTGTCGAATTTTTGTATAACGACATAATATGTCGGCATGGGTGTCCCGATGGAATTATGTCAGATCGTGGTTCATATTTTCGTAACGAAATAATTAGGTTGCTGTTGGAGAAAATTAAAGTAAAATAGCATTTCTCCACCCCATACCACCCTCGGACGAATAGCCTTGTAGAAAGGTTCAACCGAACCTTATGTGATGCCCTAGGTAAGTTGACGGAAAAAGCGGTCGATTGGGATTTGTTGATTCCCTCGATACTATTTGCATATTGAACCGCCCGAAATTCGACTACCCGAATGTCCCCTTTCTACCTTGTGTATGGTCGCGAAGCAAGACAACCCATTCACCCCAGCCAAGAATAAGAATTATTGGAAGGGACAATCCTGCAAAGAACATTCGATCTGATAAACCAAGTCCCTGAAATCAGGAACCGGGCAATCAAAACCTTACATCGGAACTCAGAGAAACAAAAGACTTACCACGACCAACACCATCGAATTAGCCCAGGGTTCAATATTGGAGATAAAGTTCTCCTGGAAAATGCCGCAAAAAAATACTCTAAAAGCGAAAAATTCACCCCAAAATGCAAAGGACCGTTTTATATCTACGATAAACTTCCGAACGACGTTTACAAACTTCGGACGATAGAAGGAAAAGTAGTCGCCGCACCTTTTAATGTTAGTTTATTAAAAAAATATTACGAAAAGGAGAACGATGAATATTGAAATAAAAAAAAAAAAAAAAAAATCGAAAATCATTAAACATGGAATGTAGAGGCCTACTCGGGTTACTCACCACAAGCAAGTTGAGTATGGTCGGTTGTATGTGTAGGAGACACGGGGCAACCGAAGTACCGGGCCTCTGTAGGTCACAACATGCTCGGGAAGCAACCATGGAGCGTAGCAGGCGTAATGTCCTGGACCCATATTCATGAAACGTTATTGACCAGTTAGTGCGTGTTTAGAGCCTATGACCGTCCGTAAGATCTCATAGGGGATCGCACAGATACGACCCTTGCTTCATAACCTATTGGACAATCAAAAAAAAAAAAAAAAAAAAAAAAAAAATAAAAAAATTTTTTTTTTTTCTCACTCGAAAGTCGATTATTTCCGTTCCGATTTTTTTTGTTTCTATTCCGATTCTTGTTTTTTCTCCTCTTTGATTTTTTTTTTTAACCGAGTTATAACTTTTCTATTTATATATTTGAGTTTTGATTTAATTTTTTTTTATTCGTAGTTTAGTTTTTATTTATGGCTGTACACGATAGTTATACGCGTGGTTGTGGGCGTATAACAAGGGACTTAGTATTCTCTTCGCTTGTGTCGTAGACGTGTTTTTGTATAGTTTCATTTTTTTTTGTTTGTTAGTTTTTTTTTTAGTATATTTTTTTTTTTGTGTGTTTGTTTGATATATATTGTATAACGAAGGATGTTAGTTGAAAGTTCCCAGAAAACGATCCAAACCCCTAAGGAAAAGAAGAAACCCTAGAATTCCATGAACCTGATTTTTCACGGGACGTGAAAAATTAAGGGGGGGAGAAATTGTCAGAGGCAAAATCGGTATAACAGAAAAAGAAGGAACCGTGCCTCAAAAATGATTCGCGAAGCCCAAGAACCAGT